GCCCAGCATCGTCCGGCGCGCCGTGCCCCCCGCCCCGCCCTGTGCGCCCGTCTGCACGCTCGCCTGCCCGTGGCCTTGCCTGCTCGCCTGCCCATGGCCTCGCCAGCTCGCCGTGCCGCGCTCCCACACGCCACGCTTGCTCGACCGTGCTCGCCACGCCGCCGGTTGCGCCGAGGAGCTACTGCGTGCCGCGGCGGTGCATGTAGTAGGCGGAGGTTGCGTGCACCGGCGGAGAGGAGCAAAAGAGAGAGGAGAAAAGGTGGAGAGAGAGGATGGTGGGTGGGTATGGTGGGCCATGGGAGATAAAAAATAGAGAGGATGACAGGCGTGCCAAGGGGTCACATGCAGAGGACACGCCCCGGACGAGGACGACGTGAAATTGTCCGCTTGTGTCCATTTTCGACCCAAAGGTAGACCAAGTTTGCGCCCAGGATGAGGCGAGGCGGACCAGAAAGGGACGTTTTTTTTAGAATGGGGTCACGCGTTGGGACGTTTCGTTTGTCCGTTTTACCTCAAATGACGGGGCCGGACAATTTAAGGTCGTGCGGCGGAGTTGGCCTTATCTGCAGTTTCTGATGATACACGGACATGGGCTGGACGGCCTGGTAGATGTGCTGTGCGCTCGACGCGAGTACACTCTACTCCAACCAAACACACACACCCACACACAAATCTACTCCAACCAACGTGGACCAAGAGCAACTAGTTGAGCACGGAAGCCTTCCCAACAATCACATAAGGTGGGCTGACAGCGTCCCAGCCGCCACCGTGTCTCTGGCTTTAGGTGTTTCCTTCGGATTTTGCTTTTTTCCCCCACGTATTTTCGCCTTTTTACTTGTTTTTTTGGATTTTTTTGACTTCTTGGTTTTTCATGGGTGTTCTTTAACTTTACGATGGAAAAAAAATTCACATCAAAAATGTGATTTTTCTCGTAAGAGGCATTGTTTTTCTTCCGCAAGAGGCCTTGTTTATCGGAAATGAAAAAAACATGTTTTTTTTTCTTTCTTTCGCGAGATGTATGGTTTTATTTTCGTGAGAGGCATGGCTGTGCCTCTTGGAAACAAAAAAAAACACGTTTTCTCTTTTATTTTTCTTCTGTGAGAGGCACGGTTTTACTTTCACGGGAGGCACGACCATGTCTCTCAGAAATGAAAAAAAAACACGATTTTTGTGAGAGGCATAATTTTGCTTTTGTGAAAGGCACGAATTTACTTTCGCGAGAGGCATGGCCGTGCCTTTCGGAAACAGTTTCCGCAAAGGAAAAAAAATAAGTGCTCCCGGCTCAGTTTTTTCGTACATTTTTTCGTGAAAAAAGTTTGTCAAAACCTATCAACATGGGATGTAGTGTTGAAGATCTCGACGTGAAAAATTCAATGATAAGAACAGTTCAAGATTTGAGCGCATGGTTTAAGAGATAAAACATTTTAAATAAATGGATTTAGGAAAAAAAACTCTCTGGTTGCGACAAGTGACGCGCATGCAGCACGCCACCTGCCGCAATCTGAGAATGGGAGAGTGATCTTTGAAATGGGTAATCCTCAATTAGTGATTTCGCGGTCATGCCGTGAACCTGGAAGCTACTTCCTCCGTCCTAAATTACTCGTCCCTGAAATGGATGTATTTAAAACTAAAATACATTTAGATACATTTATACGTGCGACAAGTAATTCGAAATGAAAGGAGTAACGCTCAACATCTACTTAAAAAAGCCAACCATCCACATGGTAAATGGACAGTATTATTATGCGCGTGGGTCGGGCGGATAGCCGGACAGGGGTGCAGCTATGTCTCGCTTTATGCGGCACAATAGCTCAGCTCGCCCGCAGGGAGCCAATAGTAGTCTGACTCATTAACCATACATTTTCCTCATGCTGATGACACACACGTTATTTCTTTATCTATTTTTATTTACTTATACCTTGAAAAATACAAAAAAACAGTTTAGTAATTTTTTGAAGTACTATCACACACACTAAAAAATGTTCATGCCGTGTAAAAAGAATGTTTGCTCAACTATTACAAAAAATATTTGTACTCAAAAATGTTCACTAGACCTTTAATAATGTTTATGCATTGCAAAAACAAATTTGTATTTTTCTATAAAAATATGATTAAAGAACGTAAAAGATGTTAGCATCGTTTCAAAAAAATGTCGTTCCAAAGAATAACTCAACATGTTTTTACAAAATATTTTACATGTATTTGAA